TATCGGGTCATCGGAATCTTGTTACAAGAGACACTATTTTGCGCCAATGTTCGCTCAATTACGAGATATCCACGCCGAATGATTTGATATCGGCGGCAGTGGCACTCGAGCACAGACGACAAACGGTGCAACAGTATAGGAGGACACGGATTGCGCGTAAATCGAGCTGGAGCGTCGAGTCTCTCACTTTGCCCGAGAGAAGTTTTGCCGCCCTTTTCACGCGAGTGCGGAATCAAATTATGATTTAATTAAAGCATGAGTCGCACGCGAGCGAGCAAACACTGGGCAAAAAGCTCGGTATAGCGTGTCCCCGTTGTTCAGCGTAGCGACGCGTGAACGTGCGTTGCTCTCTACGGGGTAAGTTGAAGCTTATATCTACGCGTTGGCTGTTTTGCGGAAAATGTCGTGCTGTGTTCTAGGAGGAACTGCGTTAGTCGACGTCTCTCGATTTGCATGCACGTACACTGTAATGCTCGGAATTTATTGTTACCCTCGAGTAGGTACTGTAACTCGAGTTATTCAAAACTCGAAACATTTTTCAACATAGGCTCTGGAGTGCGTGGTTTTTTTATACTTACAGTTTCGTGAAAATTTAATTAATGTAGCACATTGATAAAAATTACAGTGGCTTGTCTGACTAAATTCGGTCTTGTTCTACTTTCTTCTTTCAGATTCTACACAAAGGCAAGTCACTTGTCTGACCATACCCGATCTTTTCTACTTTTATAATTTACAGGAAACAATTGCCCTTGTCTGACAATATCCGGTATTTTCTACTTACCGTTACTTAGCGTTTGCGGAGCAACGACACATGTCTGACCATACCCGATATTTTCTACTTCCCATAATTTTGCAGGGCCATGACATGTCTGGCCATACCCGATCTTTTCTACTTCCCATAATTTAGTGATCACAGGGCTATATGACAAATGTCTGACTGTATTCGGTCTTTTCTACTTTCTATCATTTGGTGTTAGCTGGACAGAGACACGTGTCTGACCATGTACGGTCTTTTCTACTTTCCTTTTTTACCCTTTTTTAGATTCTACAAGGGCTAGCGTTTGGAGCTTTAATATTTTGAAGATTTTTAACGAGTTGTAGCTTTCAATATTCGTACTGCAAGTATGTCATAATAATAATTTAGAGGAAAAATCGAGCTGTGGTAGGTGCTGTAGCTGAACAAGCTGCGATCAAATCTTTTAACTTAAACTTTAACTCAATACTTTAAACAAGAAAGTGACCTGATACTACTATACCTGAAAATAAAAATACCTTTTATAGATTTATGGTTCATCACAAAATATCACCACGTGTTTGTTTCTCTGATTTTCCTAGATCAATAAATTTCACCCTCTTTTACAATTTATTCAAATTCCACGCTTTCTCGATGAGTCCAACAAAAATTACTGAAAACAACTCATGTTTTCCAATGCGTATTATTTTTCGTTGTGATTTACTTCTTTTTACTGTCGCTCTTTCTTCTTTAATTGCTATTTTTTACGCTCCAACCGCAGCTTTGATTCCTTTCGAAACTTCTGGAAAATTCCACGATAAAAAATAAAAGCATTTTTCGTGAATTATAAACTTGGCGTTTCCAGAAAATATATTTCACGACGCTATATTTATAGCCATAAAAAATCATAAGCTCGCTCGAGTTATAAATGAGTTTTAAACTTGCGTCGTTAAAACGAATCGGTAAAATTTGCTTAGCAGTTCAAATCGAGTTTGAAAAGAGGGGCTTTAAGGCACTTATCGCTGGAAAAAAAAATTGCACTAACATACAGTATGTTCTCAATTAAAAAAGTTTTATTCATTCGAAGCTTATACATTTGGGACACAAATCGGAGAGAACCTTACATCCAAGATACCAATTGTATAGCCTCAGGATCAAAGTTATTTCACATTCTTAACTAAATTATAATTCTCATTGTCCATTATTTTAGCAAAAAAAAAAAAAAAAAAAAAAAAAAACCGATGACTTTATGGCACACCCAAAGTGGCACAAACTCGAAGATTCAGAATTACCTTCTTCGAAAGTGTATTAGGAGCAACAGGAAGCCCCAGTCACACACACACACGCGGGGGTGCACTCTGGGCTTGGGTTCATCTCAAAGATTAATGGCACTTGTCGCTCGCGCCGGCCACAACCGTACAAGCACACAACGCCGAGCTCACGCGAGAGCCCGCCCACCTGAACACAAACGCCCGCCGTGTCCATTACCGAGTGGCTTTTTTTTTGCCACGGACTAGTTTTTATCCGGCCTCGGAGGTCACTCTTGGGTCACCCTTGCAGCCATCTGCTACTTAAGGATCATCTTTACCCTGGGCTGACACTTTTTTGCTCGACTTTTCGGCTCGTAATGCTGGCGCGTTGGGAATCGATCGGCATTAATCACCGAGTACTTTTTCCCACTGTTCCATCGTTTCTCGGCGCGAATGAAAAATATGAATCATTGAATGAAATTAAAAGTGTATACTTTAACCGACAAAGCGAAACAAGGGAAAGTCAGGTATCTCCGGTGAAACCAGACTTGGGGAGGGTAAGAAATACCAAGTCAAATGATGCACACGACAATGTGATTTCTCTACGGTATCTGTATACATGATCCTTTACTCGCGTGCATCGCCCACGAGTTGTATTATTCATGAACGCGAGTGACAGTGACATACTGTACCCTTTTGCATATTCAAAATGAAAAATGTCTTGCATATTTTTAAGCAGTGCATGTATCTCAGATCCATGCACCGATGAGTAGAACTTTTTGCTTCGTGCTCCTTTCGAAAAACATATAGCTCTCGATGCAAGCATCTTGATTTTTTTTTTTTTTTTTTTTTTTCTAGATTATGTACCCCCCCTAAAACGCATAAACCACGCACGAGGTAAATAAAACATCGGCTCCATAAATCCATACGCATTCGAAAACTCCGAAACGATTAACCTTATGACGCAAGTACACTGCCTCCGTTTTTCGAAGTACCAAAATTCGATACATTGTACTCCCCAGAAAAATAACAATTTCGTAAATCAGAGAGCTCTCAAGCCTCACTCACCCCTCCCCCTCCTTGCTCTTCCTTCCACTCTATCGATTTTCAATTTATAGTCAAAACAAAAGAAGACCGAGGGGTGCACGCGTAACTTCTTGTTCGCGACCAAAAAAACGTACCTTCGCTCCATCGTCGCCTTATCGGCGACGAGCCGAGCAAATGGCATCGGATAAACACGGGCTCGCTACCCGCGCCCACGCGCTTCTGAATTTGCGTTTTTATACACCCAACTCCCGCCAGATCGGATAAATCTTCGTTTCCTCCCGTTGTCCCCCTCCTCCCTGAATGCAAACACAAAAAAGTATCTCCGCCGTGTACGCGCTGGGGTACATTACGTCCAGCTGTCGTCGTTTTGCCACCTTATCTCCGCATCTGCAGCGAGTCGACAACGGGCGCGTATCCTCGGCGGAAAAGTAACGAGGGTACTACTACACTGCCAGACGTCCGGATGATTCAGGGGCACGTTACCCTGCGCGCTCTTTTTCTTGCACACGCCGTGTTTTTTTGCACCAAGAGTAGCTTTTTCCAGCGTCGCGTGGGACGTTTTTTGCGATGTCAAATCGAAAACCACCCTCATTACCATCGTGTTTGGCAAAAAGCTTTTTTTTTTTTTTTTTGACATATGTTGCTCTCTGAACATAAACATTTACCAGTAAGCCCAAAGTATTCAGTTCTATTCGTACAGGAGTGGGTATGTATGTATATGTCAAGCGAATTTTCTTCGAGCCGAGTAGGGGTCGCGCTCTCTTTACACTGCCTCTTCTTTTGTATCAAAGGAACAAGAGGTGCCTCGTGCATGGGTTTTTCATTCAAATTAGCAATTTCGCTCTTGGCTGCTATATTTTCAAAGCGATGACGTGGTATACATACCCTTGCGCCATAGTCACCGTGTGTTTATTTAAGGTGTTCTTGACTATAAATTGGAAGGTACGATTGTTTGTCAATTGAATTTGTTGTCTTGCCAAGTGACAATTGGTTGAAAAGCGTGGACGAATCACGTATTGACTAAACTCGTTCTCTCAACGGGATTGGGCGGTTAAAAAGAGCGATATATCCGATTTTTTTTTTCTTTTCAGCCGCGCTTTTCTCCGGATTTCATCGTAAAGTGATTAATCATCTCCGATCGGGCCGCGAAAGTAGCCGAACCGGACTCGGGGCTAATCGTGACTGATGACGCTACTACGTGCGCGCCCATACTTTTGCAATGAACTTTCCATTTCATCAACTTTTTGAAAACCCACTTCACACCAAACTGGACTACTAATTATCTCGGGAACGGTGTAAATTACTGAAAAGTTATCACTATTAAAGGGGAAGTCATCCGATGCGTTGATCCAGTCGTTGTGAAATATATCGCCACCAATATCTAGCTCACTCGGTTGTTTACAACTACACGCTACTCGAGTTACAGTTTAATGAAAACCGCAAGGTATTTGTTTCCAAGCCCACGAAGCCTCTATCAAGTCAAGAAACTTCACTTACACACAATAAAAAAACACCAAATGGCTTTGATTAAAGTCCCAAAAAGCCTCAGTTCGCAACTCCTTTCTCAGGGGTGACAATTAAATCTGCATGAAGACAAATGAGTGACGTCAAAGTCGTTTAAACGGCGAAACGAATGTATGTATATATAATACAATATGCAGTTAACGCGCGTTTTTTTTGCAAGTCTGGCAAAGCGTTAAGATGTATTAATTACGCGGCTGACAGCCAACGACTCCCTCATCTGTATACATTTACACGCTCCGACCGCGGGGGAATAAATCTGGAATAAAAAGCGACACGCCATCTAAAAGTAAAAAAAAGGGATAAGAGCGATGGAAGGTTACCCCGATGGAGCGTGAAAAACGAAATGTAGCTTATTAAAAAAAAAAAGTAAAAATAAATAAATAATGATAGTAATGGGTTTATGTACTCGTGATGACGAAAGCTTGCAATTTTGAACGTGATTCCAGGTACGTGGCGATCGTGAACCCGCTGAAGCCGCGAATGGGCAAGCGCATGACCCTGTGCGTGGTGATAGCCATTTGGGTGGTGAGCGCACTGATCTCGCTGCCCATGTTGTTTTTTTACGAGACCGCCACCCAGAACTTCACCAACGGTGAGATTCGGATCGTCTGTTACCAAGCCTGGCCCGATCAGAATCCCGAGGACGGGCACAGCGTCGAGGAGTACTGGTAAGCTGGTTCATATAGTGCTCTTTTGTCTCAAATTATTGCTGCCTCCTTTTTTGAAAGCAAAGTAATTGTTTTACCTTGTCAATCGTTGATATGTTTTCTCAACACAATCGAGCATGTGGAATTCATGCCTTTTTTTATGTGTACAAATCACAGAAAATATTTTCTGATTTTACGCAGCTGTACCTCAAAATAAGTTTAATTGAAACTCAAAAGACTAGTAAATTTAATGATCGATTGACAATGAGAACAATAATCACATCAAATACGAAGGAATAACAACCGTATCAGTCGTACTAACAAAACATTATTTGTTGCAACAACAACGAAAATAGGTACAACGTGGTATTTATGATTCTCACGTATTTCATGCCGATAACGGCCATGTCGTGGACGTACTTTCGGATAGCCCGTGAGCTGTGGGGCTCGCAAAGTATCGGCGAAGCGACGCAGCGACAGCAAGAGAACATACGCAACAAAAGACGGGTGAGCTTTTTCCGTTTCTTTGTATACGTTAATTTTTTTTTTTTTTTTTTTTTTTACTTTCGACAAATCTTCCCTTAAAAAAAAAACTTTTATTAGTTGAGGTAGAAACAAAAAAAAGTAGGTACACAGAACGTGAGCCACAGGAGCAGCGCTTTCTTTCTCTCTTTCTCAAGAGTTTGTAGTTTGTACTAAAAGTGACCGCAAGCTCAACATGCCAAGCGTTCATACTACAGTCCGGAGTAGCGGAGCTGCTGCTGTTGTACACGTACATATATATGTACACCCGAGCTCCGTCCGAGGCAAAAACTTTTAATGGAAAATTACACTTTTACGACCGACAAATGAACAAACAGACCAAGTGCAGCCACTCGTCGGGAGAACATGAGGTCCTTCTGAGCTTTTCTTTTCTAGTGCAATTTTCTCCTTCTTGTATTACAATTCTACGTTGGGTCATATTATAAGTTACCAAAGTAATGATCAACGATTTTGATTGAACATTACTCGTCTGAAGTTAACAATAAATTACGTAAACCAATGGTTGGTCGAAATGAGAAATGAAGGGAGTCACTGAATTTGCCGTACATTTCTGTAGGACACAATTACTGCTCGCGATAGTAAATCGATAGCGAAGAGCCAAACGTAACGGCAGGTCTGCAACTGCTTCCGTACACTATGTTTTTTCATTGTTTTCGATGTTCCTTAAATAAAAAGCTTTTGACCCTGACTGAGTTTATTGTTTTCGTATCAATCATGTACTGACTCTTTTTTTTTACCAGTTTATTTAAACAGATAAACAATAGCGTGTCATTAAGACACCCATGATGAAACAAAAGAGAATTTACGTTTCTCTGAGATATATTTTTGAAAAACTTTAATCAGCGACTCTTACAGAAACAAACGCGAATACGGACGGAGCATGATTACAACAGTGGGCGCGTATTTTTTAACGAATGCCCATTCAAGCGAATTTAGAGCTATGTATTCCACGAGCTCGTTCGCACCGCAATCGCGAACAAAGGGACCAATTTTTTCAACGTCTCTAAACGTTCAAAGTTTTGCGAGAGTAGCGGCAAGGCATAAGGAAAATAAACGTGCCGAAAGACATGCTGCTGTCAATGATAAAAAAAGTAGCAGCATCTTAAAACTTGGATTTATTTTTCTTGGTCAAGTAGTAGGACCCCTGGCTCATTTGTTGATTTTAAGAGATATTTCACACCAATTTTGATGTATAGAAGTGCATTTTTAATCTTATTTTTTCAAACTACCAGTTATCGGACTACAGTAATCCCCCCATCAAAGTGACGTAAGCACCGGATCGCGACAAGTCCTTTGACTGAAACCGAGTCAGTAATTTAAAAGGTCGGTAGGACGTATCGACACCTTCAATTGAATCGATCGGCTGCTTTGAAACCGTTCAAAGTTATTGATTCGCAAAAATTTCATTTTCCCTCGGCTTGGCGTAAAATCGCTAGTAAAAGGCGAATCGTCTCCTTAAACTTTCACTCGAAAAACCCAGTTAGACGTCGTAGAGACACAAATACTTCTCGGAAGGTGAAAATACGAATTTAACTCGCACATTTTCCACCCTCCGCGGCTATACCGCGATTCCAAGAAATTCCCGTGACCATACGGAGTAAATCCAAAACAGATTCCGCGAAGTCGCGCGTTATTAAACTCGAGACGTCAAACAAACTTGTAATGGCCACATTCGGGCAAAAAAGGCCCATCAATAAGCGTCCCCTCCTCTTTCATCATAAAACTTTGACGGCGGTTAATAAACCCCGTAACGCAAATGATCTCCCGCGTACAAGATCAGTCGGGTATCTCCCTCGTGTACGTGTACCGTTAAAAACGCTAACTGCCCCCTCGAATGAGCCCCGGGTTTTTCGTTTGTGTGCACAGCCGTCGTCGAGGCGAGCTATTCAAACGAGGGGGCCATTTAATTTCCCGACAGTGATCAAATTAATCGGCGGGCAATGCGCGCGGCCAGCCAGAGCCTTCTTTTGATCGCTCGCTTTCAAGCTCGGAGTGTATTACACCCGATACGGCTTTTTTCTCGTCCACGTTGGATTAGAGTTTAATATCCGCCGTGTGGATACAGCCGGGTAACAGCGGATAAATGAAAATTCAAGGGATGAGGGGGTGGAGGGTTCGAGGGTAGTAACGCGCTCGTGCTCGTGCGGGGCATAATTTCAGCTCTGGTGTAGAACAACGGGGGAGAAAATTAAGGGCTTGGCGCGACGAGGGAGAAGCCCACACACGCGTGTACTGCGCTTGTCGCGCTCGTACGAATGGTCAATATTTGACGCATTGAGAATATGCAGTTTTCTTCGGCGTAAGGCAAACGCGTGTTTATTTTATGTGGGTCTTGATAATCATTACAATAATGGAAAAATAAAATATATATTATTAAAACAATGTTCTCTCTGGTGTGGAATTGTATCATTAGCAGTAGTATTGTACATAATAGTTTCCACCCGTGGACTTTTTTAAATGTTCATCGAACATAATATTAATTTATGGACTGAGGTAATTTCCATGTTCGGCCCTTTTCAGGTCCATTGTATATTTTTCAATTCAAGAGAAGAGAATCCCGTTCGTAACCAAATGGAAATGGGTATTGTTGAATTCGTTGGAGAGAAAATTAATTAGATACGGCTGATTGAAGCACCGAGTCAAAAGAAACCGGTAGGTCAGCAAAAATTACGAAAATGCGCTTGTCACGAGGAGGAAAATTGTTCTTCGATTTGGCGCCTGTACACAAACTCTCAATCGGCCATAACTAATTAAGTTTTTTCACCAGAGGCCATTTCACATTGGTTTCGTGCGACGCGCTTTTTTTAATTTCCATTAGATCGTGTCCTGCTTTTATTAAAACTGCCAGCTCTCTCGTTCCACTCTGCCTCGTGTTCCGAATTTTCCGCGCAACTTTGCCATCCCGAAACTCTCTTGCAAAATGAAACAAAAAAAAAAAAAAAAACCCATGTTTTTGTTAACTTTTTCATTAAAAATCCAAAAAACCTGGCAAACGACGCGTCCGTCACATAACGAGCAAATATTTTAAAAGCTCAGGCAAAGCTCGTTTGAATGCCCTGTTCGTTAAACCGCGGCCAAATCCCGTTGTGATTTTTCATTTAGTTTCACGCGCTTCATCGCTCGTCACTTCCACGTTAGCCGACGGAGCGGCCTCTTTGTATATTTTTAGCCTCATTATTTCGCCCGTCAGGCGTTAACGTGCAAACATGCACAGTACACTCCACGTAGACGGAGGATAAAATTCAAGCTACGTTTTCGAGCTGGCGCGCGTGGCTCGAGGGTCCGCAGACAACGGCAGCTTTTCCAAGAGCGAAAGTCGTCGCGCTTCCCCCCACCATCCTCTCCCGAGGTAAGAGTGATAGCAGCTTTGTTATCCACCTTACCTTTTTGTGTTTGTCCGCCGTATGGCTCGCGGCCGACTCTCGCGCGCAAAAAGGGGTGGCGTTTGCTTATCTCGCGAGGGACAGAGGGAGTGTCAAGTGGGCTTGAAAAATCTTGGGCGCGAGTGACGACTGTTTAATGGCTCGCGTTTTTTTTTTGCGCGCCGGATAAATTTTTTACGCGATTTTCCGCGCGAGCGGCTGATAGGCTTCTGTTTTTTTTCGAATGTGAAATTTTTTTTTGTCGACAATGACGCGTTACGTGTGCCTGTGTTTGGACACGAATGGTCCGTGTATATAGATCGAACTTTCGATCTTATCGTTTTGGGAATCAACGTGGTTTGCATCCATATATACACACACGCGGCAGACGGTCGGGAAATATTTACCACCGATATTTGACTTTTCTCGTTTTGTTGTTCCTGTTTATGGCTCGTCGCCAACAAAATCGATATTTTATACGTACGTGGCGGAGCATTGAAAACGAAAGCTTCCTCCCTTTGTAATTGTTAAATTGACATTTGAAAAAATTAACAATTTTTGAACCCAAATCATAACATGTATACACGATCGTTACTTCGAAATAAAGAGGATTTTACATCATTTGTTGTTCTGCTTTATAATCTTCCATCGTATCTCTGCGTTTGTTTAAATTTTCGTGGTTTCAATTCGCAGTATACACGCTCAAAAGGGACCGTAAAAGAAAAAAAAATGAAAAGCCCCTGAAATTGCACATCTCATTCCACGTGAATCTGCAGTCCCATTAAAATGCAAAGGAAAAATCGATCGACCAGAAGAAAAAAAAAATGTATTCACATCCTCGACGATGCATCGGTCACTGCTGTACGTGGCCTCGACATACGCAATGCAAATAATACTTTCTCAGGCACAGGACGTGCCCTTAATTATTGTACCACTATAGACGGCTACACGTGCAAAGAAAAAAACAAAAAAACAAAAAGGTATACAGAACGTCGTGCATCAAGTATACGTAGGAAAAGTCACGCGCGAGCGAAAGATATAGAAGGGGGAGTAGCGTGTGTGTGTGTGTGTGTTGTGAAAAAACAAAGTAGGCAAGGAGGGTTGGAGCGAGAAAAAGGCATCCATCAATGGAAATTAATTAACGAATGGTCGTGCGGTCGTCCTACCGAATCGGCGAGCGTGTTTTTTCTATGGGCATATAATCTAACTGCATTAATAGATCTAGGGCTTTTTCTACGAGATTGCCAGGAGAAGGATAATACCGCTCGCTCCTTCATTGGAACTGTATATTTTTGTCGGGTAAGTTGGGGTGCTGTTACTTGTGGGTTCAATAACTAGAGGCCGACAGCACTCGCTCGCTCGAGAGAAGTCGAGTATATGACTTTGGTGGTTGGCGTTGTAATTGTGAGAAATACGTTACCATAGCTCTGCACCACGAATTCGGATCGGTATATTAATATGGATGCACAGAATTATAAAGGATTTGTGTCAATTATCGGTTTATAAGGAATTTTCATCGATTCATGTGAGGGGGTGAAATTTTCAGCTTTCACGATGGTTCAATGATTTTTTAATAAATTGAGCGATGGAATCAATAACTTT